CCTTTTGTGAAGTTCCTTTCCGATACACCACAATTTGAAGAGCTCCACCTTGTTGTGTTGGCGGCACAAAGAGAGGTAGAGCATCCTGAGGGGAAGTAACAGAAAGGTGGAAGGGGGAAAAAAAAAAATATATATACATTGTAACGCTGAGGAGGGCTCCCCATTTATGAGCCCATAACGAGAGGACAACCATTAGTGTGAGGAAAATAAAATAATCACATATATTCACGCATGTGTGTGTGAACAACAGCGTCCACTGTGTACAGAACCGACCCTGTTTGTCCTCCGCGGAGCCGCCCCAACTCCATCACCTGACAAAGAATGGCCAACCATATGACCACGCAAGTGGAGGACGCCTCGGGTCTGAGTTTCAAAATCGTGGATGAGGACAGCGTGCAGAGGTTCATAAAAAGTGCAGCCTACAACGAGTTGATCGACTTCATTACACAATTAAACAACTCCGTTGTAGCTGTGGAGATGCATCCCCTGGAACACTTCTACGCAGCAGGAGACAGAGGTGAAGGAGTAGCTACACCCAGTGACAAAGTTGAAAACGTGTTAATAATTTCACGCAACGTACAAAATGTACTTACTCTTATAAAGAGCATGAACAAGTATATAGAATTATGTCCCCCGATAAAACAACCGACTCGATTTGGAAATAAGGGCTTCCAGCATTTCTGTGATGAGTACTACAAAGAGGTTGATAATAAATTACCACACATTTTAAGCGAGTCAGGATTAGACAATGTGTCTGAACATACGTTGCAGTTGGGTCATTATTTAAAAAACTCAATTGGGAACAGAAAGAGAATTGATTATGGGACTGGGCACGAGTTGAATTTTTTGCTCTTTCTCTTTTGCCTGAACAAGCTGCATTTTTTTGGCCCTCCCGATTATAAGCACCTCGTCCTCGTTCTGTATCGCCAGTAAGATGACCAGCGGGTTGCGCGACGTGTGTGTAACGGAGAGGAGTGTTACACGCATATGTAGAGTGAGTCGTTGAATGGTCAGCAGCCTCATCGCGGTGCAATTAACTGTCCCCATCACACTGGCAGTGCAAAAAAGCAACTACCGCGAGCGTATCGCTACCCCCCCTTTTCCAACCGCTCAGGTACCTCGAGTGCGTGAGGAGAATCCAAATCACCTACACCGTGGAGCCTGCAGGGAGCAGGGGCGCCTGGGGGCTCGACGATTTTCAATTTTTAGTGTTTCTGTTTGGCGCTGCACAGTTATCCTACAACACCCACATAAAGACGGACGATGTAAGAAGGGGGGGAGGAATGTATTCCGCAACGTGGGAGACCCTTTTTCCATGGTGTGAGCTTTTGTTCGTCTCGTTGTATGTACCGACTAGCCAATTGGCACGTGTTGTAGCTGCACGGGTATGTACGTTCATATTTTTTTTTTTTTTTTTTTTTTTTTCCCCACCCAC